TCCCTCTCTTTTGCATTTACATTCCAACGCTGTATTGGATTATGTAACGCGTCAGCTACCTTCCAACGCTGTATGTTAAGTATATTTAGTGATCTGGTAGAACGATATCTAGAAGTCTTTATGGATGATTTTTCAGTTTATGGGGGTTCATTTCATATATGTCTAGAAAATCTAGTAAAAGTGCTCATTTGATGTGAAGAAACAAACGTTGTTTTAAATGGGAAAAATGTCGTTTCATGGTTACACAAGGTATTGTTCTAGGCCATATAGTATCCAAAAAAGGAATAGAAGTGGAACAAACAAAAATTGATCTGATAGCTAATTTGCCTTCAGCAAAAATAGTAAAAGATATTCGCTCATTTCTAGGTCATGCAGGATTTTATAGAGATTTATAAAAAATTTTAGTTTAATAGCCAAGCCTATATGTAATTTGTTATGTCAAGATATACTATTTGAATGGAATAAAGCATGTCAACTATCATTTGATAAATTAAAAAACATGCTTATTTTTGCACCTATCATGCAACCTCTTGACTGGTCATTACCTTTTGAAATAATGTGTGATGCAAGTGATTATGCGGTAGGAGCTATATTAGGACAAAGAAAAGAGAAAAAACCTTATGTTATATACTATGCAAGTAAAACTATAAATGATGCGCAAATGAACTATTCAACCACAGAGAAAGAACTACTTCTTGTTGTATTTGCATTAGATAAATTTCATTCATATCTGGTTGGATCATCAATTATTGTATTTACTGATCATGCAGTTTTAAAATACTTACCAAGAAAGATGCTAAATCACGTCTCCTACATTGGATATTATTACTACAAGAATTTGATTTAATCATCAAAGATAATAAAATCATAGAAAATGTGGTAGCTGATCGCTTGTCAAGATTAAACTATGAAATAAAGGAAGAACCAACTCCGATTAGAGAAACTTTTCCAGACGAACAATTATTAGCAGTCACAGAAATACCATGGTATGCATATATAACTAATTATTTAGCTACTGGTACTATTCTCTCTAATTATACCTGGTCTGATAAAAATAAGTTTCTAAGTGAAGTACGCAACTTTTTCTAGGAAGATCCTTAAGTGAAACCCGGGAAAAATTTGAAGTTTTTCTGACAAAGGGCAAAATAGTACTTTGTCACTATTATGCGAGATTAAAATGCGTATTTCTATAGAGCTCGGATGGATCAACGGACTTCACTGTTGGATTCGTATCACTAAATTGAGTTATCACGTCAATTTTTGTCGAATTCTGAGATAGTCAAATTTTACACGTTTTTCAAGATGATTGAGTGACGAATGAACTTTTAAAGGTCCCCGAAAACGGAAATTATAAAATTTCCTTATAATTGAGTAAAAGTTCAAATAAAATTAATTTGAACAAAAACCAGAATTTAATTAAGTCGTTTCGGGTTAAAAACGGACCTGAAAGTGATAAACGTGCGGGACAATGTGGACCGCGCAATTAAAAGTATAAATATCACAAAATATCTGAAAAATTAGATACTTCTTACCCTTGGCCAGCTGTGTTTAGACGTTAGAAGAGAGAGAAGAGAGAGAAGAGAGAAAATAGAATTTCTACCTTTCTTTCTTCGATCCAAGAAGTTCCATCGGTCGGAATTCTTCGGACCAAAAGTTAAAGTTGGTCTACACGACGAGGGCTACACGTATGTACCAAGAATGACGAATTTCATCAAAGTTTCAAGGAAGAAATTTTGGGTAAATCGAAGGTTTGGGGCTTAAGAGTTGTCTTGAGGTTTCTCCCTTTCTTTTACGCTCCAAGAGGTAGGGTTTCTCCTACCTTGGTTTATTTTCCTACCTAGAATGCAATATGTAATGTGTTGGTTATAGGAATATATGTAGGTCAGTTACCTATGCATATGAAATAGATGAATGGGTATGAAAAAGGAGTATTGAAATGAGTTAGAATAGACTTTCTAACTTGAATTTGGGATATGGTAATTACTTGGTTGGTAATTCCATGGAAAAAGTAATTTTATGGGCATGCTATATGTTTAATATTATGTCTTGTGAATGATGTGAGAAATATTGAGTCTTGATGGTATTTTGCAAAGAATGCCTAAGTGGAAATTAAGTTGTTGTAGCATGGATTATGTATAACAAGCTTGTGAATTGTTGATTGATGCTATGTATTGTTAATGTTTTAGCAACATGTTGATTTTTGGTAATTATCTACAATTGATATTAATTGCCATGTTGTATGTGGATACTTGGTTAAATGGCTCATTTGGCATACATTGCATATAAGTATGACATAGACATTGCAATGGTGCACTACATTGCATTTGCACGGGGAATACACATCTATGACCATGAGTACGGGTGTGTGAGTGCATGGTTAGATCAATCATCACACTTGGTGTTTGATGAGTGGGCTCGGGAAAGTGGGGTTGAACATCCTACTGAGTCGCACGGTTGCATTCATGAAAAAACTTGTGTCGGGTATAGCAAGATCGAGTGCAAGGCCCCGCTAATGGTTTATACACTTTTGACGGTGCAAGTCCAAAAAAAAGTGTATCGGTGTACGGAGCCGGCGGTGCAACACTAAAAGTCCGCTACCCAAATAATGACACATGGTTTTTGGTTATATAAATGATTCATTTGATGGGAAACATCCATAAATGAATTGGTTTTTATGAACACATAAGTTTTGTTTCAAAATGATCTTTGGATGTATTTCATCAAGGATAAATGTTTTACACTTGTATTGCATAGTGTGGTGGGAGCCGGTGAGGACTCGGGTTGATGTGCGTGAGTAAATCTCTTTTCATTCATGGCATGACATGGTAGATTTCCAACATGAATCATGTATATTCTTGATTGGAATATGATTGTGAATGTTGTATATGAACTTTGCAATGCATTTAGGTTGGGGAGTAGCCTCGGTAGGAAATATTCTACTGGTGTTGGCTCACCCTATACATGAAACATTTCATGTGCGGGGTTTGTACCGAGAGAGGACTCGCATTCGGGGCCTCAACGATGAAGAAAAGCCGACTTGTAGCTTTTGTGGCATATTTTGTGTAATCTTTGTTGGAACAATGTTTTAACATGTAAAAATTATGCACATGCATGTAATAGAACTTGTATGGATTATGTATAATGTAGAAAAATGTCATTATCCATGTTTGGAATGAATTTGGAAATGTTTTGGATGAATTGAAAATGAAAATCTGATGAAACATGAAATTATGGGCAAAACCTTCCGGAAGGTTAGTGTAAAATTTATGTCCAGTAGGTAAAACCTTCCGGAAGGTTCATGCTATTTTTCATCCAGTGGGCAAACCTTCCGGAAGGTAAGTAAAACCTTCTAGTAGAAATTTGTCCAGTAGGATCCATAAAACCCTCCGGTAAAAATTTTCTAGTGAGGACACCTTCTGAAAGGTCCATAACAAAACCTTCCGGAAGATTTTCCAAAAATCTGAAATTTTAAGAATGCATTGTCATACTCTTGGGCTAAGTGTTCTTTGGTTCTAATGACATAAATGGACCTTAAATGAGATGCATTGGGGTATGTTGAACCTCGATGAGATTAAATGAATTAAAGGAAACACGGATCCACGTATAGGTTGTAATCCCGGTTACAGGGATGTGATAGACATGATGTCGGGTTATACGACAATCACGGGTATTTTCGCAGGTAGATGGGTGGTCAACGGGACCCCCGATTTTAGGGGCATCACACCTTACCTATTTAAATATTGTAAAGATCAAATAATAATGCGTTGTGTACCTAATCATGAAATAGGACAGGTAATTCAGTTTTGTCACTCCAAAGCTTGTGGAGGTCATTTTGCTTCAAAGAAAATCGCTGCTAAAATTCTACAGCGTGGATTTTATTGGCCAACTCTTTTTAAAGATGTTCATATATTTTGTTTAAATTGTGACAGATGTCAAAGAATGAGAAATATTTCAAAAAGAAATATGATACCTTTAAACCCTATTTTAATTATCAAAATTTTTAATTGTTGGGACATTGATTTTATGGGTCCATTTCCCCCATCTTTTGGATATCTGTATATTTTAGTTGCAGTCGACTATGTCTCTAAATAGGTAGAGGCAATTCCATGTAAAAATAATGATCACAGAACAATTATCAATTTTAAAAAAAAAATATTTTGTCCAGATTTGAAATTCTTCGGACCATTATAAGTGACAGTGGATTACATTTTTGTAATAAATTTTTTGAAAATCTTATGAAAAAATACTCAATTTAACATAAAATATCCATTCCATACCTTCTACAGACAAGTGGACAAACTGAATTAGCTAATAGGGAGATAAAATATATTTTAGAAAAAATAGTAAATCCAAATCGTAAAGATTGGTCCTTAAGATTGACTGATGCGCTTTGAGCTTACCGTACTGCATATAAAACTATTTTAGGAATGTCTCATTATCGGTTAGTATATGAAAAATCATGTCATTTGCCTGTAGAATTAGAACATCGAGCATATTGGGCAATCAAAATGATGAATTTTGAAATGGACAAAGCTGGAGTAGCTCGCAAACTTTAAATAAATGAATTAGAGGAATTAAGAAATGAAGCTTATGAAAATGCTTCGATTTGATTTGACATATTATAAACCCCGTTTGGAGTACGGAACAAAAGTTACTATCAAAATAGCGTTCAACCCTTTTTAAATCTGAATTTCTTGAAAACTCCTTTTGATTGGTGACTTCCTTCCTTCCCGTAGACTCCTTTTGCTCACGGGGACATCATAAGCTACATAAACTCCTCCTTTCACTCCCCCTTTTAGATTCTTAAAGAGCCCTAATTATAAATTGGGGGCTTTTTGCTTTTTCCTTCCTTCAATAGGATTTTAAAAACCCTAGGTATAAATAAGAGACTCCTTTTTCATTCCTCCCATTTCATCTATCTTGGGAGAGAGCTCCTTCTTGAAACGCTTGTGAACTCAAGATTTGAGATCTTCTTATTTGAGATGAGTTTTTGGACATCAATGTTGATTGAGGAGGGAGATGTGCGAAGTTCCGTTGGTACCCAGGGGAATGGATTGATTGGCGCTGACACAGATGACTATGAAGTTGTTGGCATGATGGAGATTGAAGGAGGCATCAGAGAAAGGGTCCTAGGAGCCGGAGTGGAGGCAGAGATGGGAACCCCGCTGGGCGCTGCTGTAATCTACGTACGCGGGGGGCTTCCTGATGCTGATTGCACACTATAGGGCGCAAGAGAAGCTGTCCGGGGTGAGCTTAGGCGAGCAAGGGCCGAGGGAGGCCAAGGAGAGCAGGTGTTGGGTGTTACTATTGCTCGTGTAGTGGGCGAGCAGACAAACAAGCGCCGTTGTCGCTTGTGCAATGGGCGAAGGAGGCAGGCTGACTAGGCATTTCAAGGAGAACGTCCAAACATCAGGCGCCGAGGGCCAGGCGACCCAGACGCTAGTGTGGGACCTTTGGGCCAGCTGAGAAATGAGATGGGCGTCGATCTGAGCACTATTGGCCAACAGGCTTGTGGAGGTGGGCGTGTAAAAGCCGCTGGGCACGCAGGGATCGCTGGGCGCGCAGCTAGGCGTGCATGTATGGTTGGGGCTACTTTAGGGAAACAGGGAGGCAGGTGTGCGCTACCAAGGGCTAGCCATGGTCTAGGCAGTGGAGCGAGCACCGAGGGGCGTCTAGGCGTTTCCATGCACGTAGATGGGGCGAGCCATGGTGGGTGCCTAGGTGCTACTACTGGGAGCGCCTCAATGGCCCTCAAGGAGAAGGCACTGGCGCCCACTGTTGTTGCCATTCGAATGGGAGGCATTAACTGCGGTGGGAAGCTTAGGCGAGCCCTAAGCATTGCCAATGGAGGTGGTTTGGGCGAGCCCTTTGCCTATAGTGGAAGTGATTTGGGTGAGCTGACCTTTGTTCATGGTGGAGGTGAGTTGGGCGAGCTGCCCCTTGCTCATGTTGGAGGTGATTTGGGCGAGCTACCCCTTGCTCATGTTGGAGGTGATTTGGATCCTTCAAGTGGAACTCCTCAAACTCAAATTATTTAAGGCCTTCCTGGTAGTGACTCAGGCAACTCTTCACGCCCTCACAACAAAAAGCACCAAGCCAAGGTAGCCCTTAATGATGATGGATCTAAAGTGAGTACTATTTCTAGCACTTTAAATACACACACTAAGAATTTATGGATTGTCTCCACCTACCACATTCCTCCAACTGTGTTGTGCCTTCGAGCTGAGATGGGTGAGCCCGCTTGTGATAACTCCTCTGGTGACATTGTCATCTATGAGGAGATGCTTGAGGCTGGGCACAAGTTCCCTATCTCTTCTTCTATTTGCCTTGTTCTGCATTACTTTTCACTCACTCTGGGGTGATTGTCACCCAATGGCTTGTGGAGGTGGGTGTGCAAAAGCTGCTGGGCATGCAGGGTTCGCTGGGCGCGCAGTTGGACGTACAGGTGTGGTTATGGCTACTTTAGGCAAGCAGGGAGGTGGGTGCACGCTATCAAAGGCTGATCATGATCTAGACAATAAGGCCAACACTGATGGGGAGAGCCATTGTAGGTGCCCAGGCATTGCTGCTAGGAGCGTATCGATGGAGCTCGAGGAGGAGGCACGGGTGCCCGCTGCTACTGTCGTTCACGTAGGAGACATTGACAACGGTGGGCAACTAGGGTGAGCTCTAGGCATCGTTGATGGTTTGGGTGAGCCCTTTGCCCATGATGGAAGTGATTTGGGTGAGCTGCCCTTTGCTCATGGTGGAGGTGATTTGGGCGAGTTGCCTCTTTCTCATATTGGATTTGATTTGGGTGAGCTGCCCCTTACTCATGTTGGAGGTGATTTGGCTCCTTCAAGTGGAACTCCTCAAACTCAGATTATTCAGGGCCTGCCTGGCAGTGGCTCAGGCAACTCTTTATGCCCTCGCAACAAAAGTACCGAGCCAAGGTAGCCCTTGATGATGATGGATATAAAGTGAGTACTCTTTCTAGCACTTTAAATACAGACACTGATATTTTGTGGATTGTCTCTGCCTACCACATTCCTCCAACTGTGTTTTGCCATCGAGCTAAGATAGGTGAACCCGCTTGTGATAACTCTTCTTGTGAAATTGCCATATATGAGGAGATGCTTGAGGCTGGGCTCAGGTTCCCTATGTCTTCTTCTATTTTCCTTGTTCTGCATTACTTTTCACTCACTCCGAGGCGATTGTTGCTCAATGGCTAGAGAGTTTTGTTGTGCTTCCTAGTATTGTGAAGGAAGGTGCATCATGAGGATGCCTTTCCTATCGAGTTTCATGCAGCTTATACTTTGAGAAAGACTCCTGCTCCCAATCGGGGCTGGTACTATTTTACTACAAGTGACAAGTTAATTACTGGACTGCGCTCCAACTGACATAGCTGGAAGTCTTGCTTCATATTTTTCACCGGGGAGTGGGCTTGAGAGGCCGATAGGGCTTTGGTACCAACACGATGGGGTACCCCTAAGAAACTTGGTACACCCTAGACTTACTTTCTCTCGTTTGGTCCTTTTTTTTTATTATTCATCATGCCTCTTGCAGATTCTCCTATGCTCTCCAAGGACCAAGAGTGGAAGTTGTAAGTCGTGAGGGCTCATCCTGAAAAAGACTTTGGAGTTCTTATGTCCAAAGACGGTGGTAGGGCTGGTGGACCTTCTCCGAGATCTGGCAGTTCCTCTTTGAAGTGAAAAGTTACGTCAATTCTCTTGTACCTTCCCCTTTTACTTGGTGCTTTTCATTTAGATAACACTTTACTTCATTTGCAGTAGATAGAATGGTGATTGAGTCTCGCCTCTCTAATAGGAGCACTCCTCCTCCTAAGGTGGCAAGGATGAGCGATGCCTCCCAAGTGAACTCTCCAATAGTGTCGCCTGAGGTGAGCTCTTTAAACAACCCTCCAGTTGAGCCTCGGGTGTGCTCCCATCAAGTGACCCCTCCAGTGGTGCCTCCTCAGTCAATAACTCCTTTAGTTACAACTGTTACTCTAGAGTCCCCCTTGTCGGCCACACCTTCTACCCCTCATTCGTCCACTCCTACTGCGGGAATTCTACAAGGAACCGATTCAGATTAGCTCCATGTTGGGTAATGCGCAAGTCATAAAAGGATCGACTTGGGAGGTTTGTGTTTCCTAACGATGTTAGTGAGATTAGTGCTCTAGGCACCGAAGGGAATCATCAGCTCTTTTTTGTAAGGCCTACCTCAGGTAAAGGTCTGTCATCTCCCTTTATCCAGCTTCCTTAAGCGTCTAACATTCTTTTGACTTTTATCTTTCTTCAACCTTCTACTGCATCTATGTGTTTACTTTCAAGGGCCTATTATCATGACCATCTAAAGCAGAGTCATGAAGTGGTGTAAAAGGAGTTCTGCTGCTCAGGGGAAGATTGAGAGCTTGAAGCTGCTGATAGGACTTCTGAGGCTGAGCTTGTGACAACCCGTGAGGGGAGACTAAGCTTGAAACTGAGTTTTTTGACCCATGAGAGGGCAGCCAAGCTCGAGGCTGAGCTTGTGGAGACCCGTGAGAGAGATGCACTTAGAGAGGTGAGCTTGTGGAGGCCCGTGAGAGGCCGCGCTCAGAGAAGCTGAGCTTTGTGGAGACCCGTGAGAGGGCCATGCTGAGAGGCTACCACAGAGGCAGAGGGTGAAGGAAGCTCATGAGAGAGCTTCTTGGCTAAGGAGATGGCTATCATGGCTGAGAGTGATTTGGATATTGGCCTTGCCGATGCCTTTATTGACGGTTATGAAGAGCTCCGAGGAAAGATATTTGTTATTTTCCTGATATTGATGTTTTAAGCTTCTTGCCATTTGAGGTGCAGATGATAGTGATGGAGGATCTGATGATGCCAAGGATGATCAGGAAGATGAGGAGGGGGAAGACCATGAGAGTACTTAGAGCACTAGGGACTTTTGATTTTTTTTTTAGAAAAGCATTTTGCAGCCTTACTTGTAAGTGGCTTTTTGCCATTGATGCTTCTTTGAAATTGAATATAAAAAATGCAAAGTCTTTTATAGTAAATCTAGAAAGTTTTATTCATTCACTGCTAATCAAGCAGCAATATCGGGTAATAGTCCCCAAAAAATTACAAAAAATAAAACCAAGTTCCCCAACTTTTCTACTCTCTAAGGTGTCACTGGTAGTACCTCTTCAGGTGCTCAGGATTCCATGTGTGAAGTAAGACCTTCCCCTTAGAATTATGGATCTTGTAGGGTTCTGGCCTCACCAATTCTGTTATGAGGTAGGGTCCTTCCCAGTTTGGTCCCAGCTTTCTTCTTGCAAATCCTTGGTGGCTAGATCACTTTTTTGAGGACCAAGTCTCTTGTTTGGAAGGAATGAGGCTTCACCCTCGAGTTGTAGTACTTCGCCATACGGCACTTGTACTCCGCGTTGTCGATCACAGCCATCTCCTTGCCTCCTCTATGAAGTTTAGGTTGATGCAGAGTCATTTCTCGTTAGTGATAGGGTCATGGTGTTGGACCCTTAGAGAATGTATCCTGATCACCACTGGGATGACTGCCTCAGTTCCAAAGTGAAGGAGAAGGAGTTTCTCCGATGGGGCTCTTGGCGTGGTTCGGTAGGCCATAATACGTCTGGGAGTTCGTCAACCAAAAAATCCTACTTCTTTCGAGCCTTGTCTTTAGGCTGTGTAATACCGTTCTCACCATGACTTTTGCTTACCCATTTGCCTGCGGGTGCACTAGGCTGGAATGATGCTGCTTTATCTAAAGATCGGAGCAGAAGGAGTTGACGAGCTTGTTGTCGAATTGCTTAGCGTTATCACTGACAATGGCGTGGGGTATTCCGAAGCGGCAACTAGGTTTTTCCAGATAAAGTCATTAACCTTCACGTCTGTTATCTTGGCAGGGGTTCAGTCTCTGCCCACTTTGTGAGTAGTGGACGGCGACCACTGCAAACTTGCACTGTCTCTACTCAGAGGGTAGGGGCCTAGGATGTCGATGCCCCATTTGGAAAAGGACCACAGACTCACGATGACTTTTAGCTCCTTTGGCGGCTGCCTGGTACAGTGGTGAAGTTCTAACACTTCCCACACTCTAGCAAACTCCTAGGCGTCCCTCACCATGCTAGGCCAGAAGTAAGCCCTATCTGAGTGCTTTGTGGGTGAGGGAGTGTCCTCTAGAGTGATTTCTACAAACACCTTCATGGATCTCTTGTAGGGCATAGTTAGCTTCTTTAGGCGAAAAACACCGCAGTAATGATAAGGAATAGTCTTTCTTGTACAGGGTATCTTGTAATGTGGTAAACTTGGAAGCTCTTATCCAGAGCTTCCTGACTTCCAGGGGTCATCTAGCAACACACCCTTCTGGAGGTATGCCCTTATCGGGGTCATCTAGTTTGACTCGGCAAACAAACAGTTGACGTTTGTGGCTTCCACGCCTAACTTGCTTGGTTCGAGCTGGTGACCAATGAATGTAGGTCCTTCCTGTGGGGCTTCCAAGGATGAGGCAAGCTTGGCGAGTGCATCTGCGGCCACGTGTCCTCTCTAGGTATGTGGTAGATTTGGAACCACTGGAACTTTGTGATCAATGCTTTCACCATGGCAAGGTACTCATGTATTTTCGTTCCTCTTGCTTCGAACTCGCCCTTCACTTTGGTTGACTATCAGCTGAGAGTCACTATAAGAGATAAGGTGTTGGACTTCCATCTCTATTTCCAACTTTAGGCCAGAGATAAGGGCTTCATATTCTGCCTCATTATTAGAGAGATGAAGTGGAGCTTTACATCATACTTGATGGGAGTGCCATCGGGGCTGATCAGGATTAGGCTTGTTCCACCTCCTTCATTGGTCGAGGAGCCATCCACATAGAGCTTCCAAAGTGATAGAGAAGTGATCACTGCGGGAGCCTGGGTGCAAAAAGGGGGCACCTAGGTGTAGGCCTAGGCAACTGGGCATCTATGCTGGCCTGGATGCCTGGGAGTCTGTTATGGGTGCCTGAAGTCCTCCTCCAGGATTCTGGGTGTCCTTGCCG